ATTTCTGTTTAAATCCTATTTCTTCAGTTTAAATTTACAACAACAAATCCGACAATTATTAACCGATGTATTTACAGTAAAAAGCATCAAAACTACAGCTCCATTGTTTTAAACTTAAACTATTGCATGTTTACTGTCTGACTTCTTGAATAGTATTATATCTAGTATTTATCTATTTATTATCATTAAAACAAGGTACCTCAACAGACGGTAGGATTTTGTTTCAGTACCAGAATGCGTTAAATATCAAATGAAAATAAAATTTTTAAACCAAGATATATATAAAAAATAAATCAAACGCATTAACATAAGTGCTTAAAAAGTAGTAGTTGATTTGATAAAAAATTGATGCTCCCAAAGTTTGAATTCTAACAGGATCAGTGTAAGTGTGCATAGTTGAAATCTCATTATGCCATAGAAATGCTTTTATTTTTATACCCCCGCACAACAAAGTTGTAAGGGGGTATACTGGAATCAGCTTGTCTGTCCGGCCGTCCGTCGGTTTTTCCTTGTCCGCCCAACTTAAGATTCCTTTGACCCCCAAGTCTTCATATTTGGCATGGAGGTTAGTCATGATTAGCAGATGACCATATTGATTTTGAGGTCATTGGGTCAAGGTCACAAGGACCTTGACTAAAAAAGCTTGTCCGCCCAATAACTTACGATTCCTTTAACACACAGTCTTAATATTTGGCATAGACTTTAGAAGGTGGCCCCTATTGATTTTGAGATAACTGAGTCAAAATTCAAGGTCACAGGGGCCTTGAATAAAAAAAGCTTGTCTCTCCAATAACTTAAGATTCTTTTGACCCACAGTCTTCATGTTTAGCATGAAGGTTGAGCATGACCATTCAGAGACCCCTATTGATATTGAGTTCACTTGGTCAAAGGTCAAGGTGACAGGGGCCTTGACTAAAAAGCTTGTCTGCCCAAATAACTTAAGGTTCCTTTGAGACACAGTCTTCATGTTTGGCATGGAGTTTAGTCATGATTAGTAGATGACCCCAATTGATTTTGAGTTCACTGGGTCAAAAGTCAAGGTCAGAAGGGCCATGACTAAAAAAAAAAGCTTGTCCGCCAACACTGCCGGGTACGTGAAACGGTGCAGATTTTCCGTGATACAGTGCTTCCATCCAATATGGAGGAAAGTAAACAACTAAAAGTTATGTGTCATTTTATTTTCTATGTATTTAGACAAATCCGTTTTATATAGTAAAAGAAGAATATTTGCATTTAACTTAAAAACAAATTCACTATAAGATCAATAAGTTCACAATTTATGTAACATATGATATATATGATTTTTTTCACAAAAACTTTTGTAAATAAATGTACATGAAATTTGAACCGTGAGAAAGGGTAAAAGCAACGGCGGGGACTTTCCGTAACCGTTTTTTGTGTCTGCACCGTTGTCGAGACGAAACAGAAAGTAGGCAAATTTTGACAAAACAAATTAACAGAACAAATATAGAAATTGCACAGATGTTTTTATACATTTACTGTAATAAACAAGAGAATTTATTTCAATATAAGTGTCTGTAATACGTAGATTGACTCAAAAATTTACCACTTCTCTCGGTTCAAATTCCATGTACATTTACAAAGTTTTTTTGTAAAAAAATCATATATGTCATATGTAAAATACATTGTGAACTTATTGATCTTATAGTGAATTCATTTTAAGTTACATGCAAATATTCTTCTTTTACTTTATAAAACGGATTTGTCTAAATACATTGAAAATAAAATGACACGTACCTTTTAGTTGTCTACCTTCCTCCATATTGGATGGAAGCACCTTATCACGGAAAATCTGCACCGTTTCACGTACCCGACAGTGACCAAATAACTTAAGAATCCTTTGACCTACTGTCTTTATATTTTGCATTGAGATTAGTCATGACCATTAGATGACTCTTATCGATTTTGAGGTCACTGGGGCAAAGGTCAAGATCAAAGTTTGTCCGTCCAATTACTTAAGAATCCTTTGACCCACAGTCTTAATATTTGGCATCTTAAGCTCTAAATGACCACTGTTGATTCTGACAAAGTGGTATGCTGGGGTATTCACGCCATGACAGTGGCAGTTCTAGTTATTTCTCAAAAGCTTTCTATTTGGTGTGAACATTTATAACTCCATAATGTTACTCATTAGCCAATTACCTTAACAGTCTTTTTTCCTGATGCTTATCTTGCAATTAGCACAGTTATAGTGATTAAATAGTTTGTACGGAAGTCAACATACTGCTTTGTTTACATTTTGCTACTTTTATGACAAATAATTTCACTTATAGCCCTCCTTTCTTCGGGTAATGAACAAATTACATGCTCTAAAACCATTATAAGTAATATTTGCCTTTTTAAAGAAGTAATGATTTATCAGGCAAATGGTACTTTATGTACATATATATTTTTGCGAAATACAGAACAGAAATTTTATTTTTTGGTTAAGGCATAAAAAGTTCACCAACATATAACCTTATGATCATCAGGGCAAATGTGAGTGTTCGTGTGCATGCATGAAAATATGGCGGTCCAATTATTTCAGAGCTGTATATTTCTATTAAAAATTGGATAATGCAACGTAGGATTTATAAGTTATAAAAATGAACTTAATTGCTTGTCATATAATCAAAAATGATATACTTGTGATAACAAAAGAATTAAATGGGTAGAAAGCGTAAAAATGAGAATGTTTCACCAACCGTGTCCCTGGTGGAAAAACAACAAGTGAGTCAAACAAAGAGAAAAACTAAGAAAAACGCAAAGATGGCACAAAATGTTATTTCGCCTGGATCTACAGGTAATCAAATGAATGCTCAGACTCCTCCTTCATACATAATGCCTCCTATGTTCCAATATCCACCCTTTGTGCAAGGAGTAAATAACATGGAAACCCAATGGGCACCTATACCGACCCAGCAAAACAGCATAAATATTGACCCTTACAAACTATTATACAAAAAATGGAGCATATTGAGATGAAGTTAGGTCAGCTTGATAAAATTCAATTATTAGTGAGTGATTTAACGGTGAGAATCGACGAAATGGACAAGAAAGTGTGCAAAATAGAGCGTAGCCAAAAGTTAAATGGCGATCAGTACGACACAGTGTCAAAGTGTACAAACGGTAATAAAATTAGTATTCAGTCAGTCAAACGAGAGGTCAAAGAGCTACAATATGTGAATGCGGAACTGAAAACAAATAGTGAACCTATGGCCGAATCTATTGTTGATTTAAAATGTAGGTCTATGAGAGACAATCTTTTATTTTTTGGCATCCCAGAGAGAACTGTGCTCGGTTTCAAGCAAGTACCTAGGGCTTACTAATATCAAAGAGGAGATGCAAACGAAAACCCACCACCCCCACAAAATCCCATCGAGGATACTCTTACATATGCAGATTGTACCAGTGAAACCATTGTAACGGATGACTGCCTCGCTAAAGTCAATTTGTTTTGTAAGCAGATATTGAATATTGAGAATCCAGAAACTACCCTAAATATTGACAGGGTACATAGGGTAGGTGCCCATAATCCGGATGAAACTCGTCCGATAGTAGTAAAATTTAGTACGGACTCAAAAATGACTGTGAAAAACGCATAAAAGAGCATCAATTTGTATCAGACGCCATACAATGTTAGCGATCAGTTTCCGCCCGAGGTACAACAACGAGGATGTGAATTGATTCCCAAGATGTTGGAGGAACGCTGTGCAGGAAAGAGGGCCGTTCTAGTTAGGGACAAACTGTTCATTAATAATGTACTTTATAAACCTGAAACAACAGCAAATAATGACAGCTAGAAATGCGAAAAAAATGTTTGACTTAAGTTTATTATCTTGGAACATTGAAGGGTTATCTACCTGTACTTTCTAAATTTTATTTATAATTATGACATTATTTTTTCACTGAAACTTGGGAACGTAGCAATGATAATTTTTATTAGATGAATATGAATGGTTATCAATACCTAGAATAGAATCGCTTTCAAACCGAAGTAGAAGAGGTCATGGTGAAGTGTGTCTGTATTACAGGAATTTTCTGAGGGATGGAATCGAAATTGTTGAGACTGACAGTAACGGCATAATATGGATTTAATTAATTAAAGACTTTTTCCAAAATGATTTTGATGTATTTCTCTGCTTTATGTATATACCACCTAGTAATTCTGTTTATTTTAATATGCACGATATTGGCTTTTTCGAAGCACTTGAAATAGGTGTCCGAAAATATTCTCAATGTGGTAAAATAGCGGTTTTAGGTGACCTGAATGCAAGATGCGGTAATAGGTCAGACATTTTAGAAGAAATGGATCATTTTAACCGTTATATTTATTCGATTGAAAATTGTGATATGAGTAACAGTAATATTATTATACCCGATAGAAAATCTATGGATAGTACTGTCAATTCTTCGGGAAATAAACTTCTTGATTTATGCTTGCGTACTGATCTTAAAATTGTAAATGGGAGATTAGGGAATGGTGCAGGTATAAGCAATTACCAGAAACGTATACATTCAGCTTACGAACAAGACACAAATTGTATAAATGGATTTACTGAACCAAATATGAGTTAGCAGAACACAAACATCGAACCTACATTGAACCTTGAACAATCTATAAATATTGAAACCACTTCTACCTGCTTTAATATGAATAACAAATAATGACAGTCTTATATTCCAACAAGGGGATCTCAGCTTTAACTCAACTATTTCTAGTGCCTCTGAACATAACCCCGAAGAAGAACAAAGTAACCATTATTTCCAAGATGACATAAATACCTCAACAAACACAGATGTAGATCACTTATATGAACTCAAAAACCTCAGAAAAGCGAATTTAAAAAGACCTCTTATTTCACATCTGAATATTAATAGTGTGAAGAATAAATTTACGGAAATTCATGATATTTTATCAGAAAAGCTTGTTGATATGTTAATACTATCAGAAACTAAACTTGATAACTCGTACAATTATACTATTTATAATTTTCCAGGTTATAAGATGGAGAGAAAAGATAGAAACAAACATGGTGATGGGATTTTGATATATGTAAGAGATGACCTACATTTTAGAAGGAGGGAAGAATTTGAATGTGAGTCTTTAGAATCAATGTGTTTTAGCTTTGTATGGCAAAACAAAACAAAAATGGGGGTTTTAAGCTATTTACAAACCCCCAAATACTAAAGACAATGTTTTTATTGAAAATATTACTTTTTCTCTAGACAAATTATTCTTAAACTATGACCATTTTTTAACAATAGGTGACTTGAACAAAACTTGAACTTAAACAAACCTGACAAATGTAAACCCCTCACTCAAATATGTGATACATATAACTTAAATAATGTCATTAAAGGACCAACTTGCCAAATGAAAAACTATGAGCCATCATATTTAGATGTTATTTTGACAAATAGACCAAATCTAATCTGTAATATCATAAATTTTGATTCAGGACTGAGTGACTGTCACACCTTTATTGCTACAACCATCAGAGAGCAATGTAACTTGACCCAATCGAAATATGTAAATTTTAGATCCTACAAAATTTAAACCAGCAGGATTTTAATAAAGACCTGTCACAAGTACCGTTTCATGTAGCTTACATATTTGACGACGTTGACGACATTTGTTGGGCTAATGAAACCTTATTCAAAGAAGTAGTAAATGAGCATGCACCAATTAAACAAGAAATGGTTAAAAAAGAATCTTCCCCTTTTATGAATGGAGAACTCCGCATAGCCATTTATATAAAAAGAAAACTTATTAATTCATTTTTTAAATATAGAACTGATAAAAACTGGGAAAATATAGGAAACAGAGAAATCTAGTTACAAAACTTAAAAGAAACTCAATGCAAGAATATTTTCTTGAAAGATGTGGTGGGGGACCAAAATCAGAACATTTCTGGCCTACTATAAAACCTTTTCTCTCTAGTAAAAATACAGCCAAAAATGATGCTCAAATTATATAAAAATGAAAATGATACATTGATAACAGATCAAAATAAGGTATGCAACATACTAAATGATTTTTATGTTAATATAGCTCAAAATATTTGTATCAACAGTGAAATAATGTTAAATGAACAACACCCTAGTGTACAGGCTATTTGGCTATTTCTGATAAAATCCAAAGCACTCATAAATTTACATCTCAGGAAGTGCATAAGCTTCTGCACAGTGTGGATTGTAAGAAGGTCACAGGTATTGATAACCTATCTCAAAAAATTATAAAAGCTGGTACTGAATCTCTTGCGGAGACTATAAAATGTATAATAAATAAATCCTTCATTAATAATACATTTCCGGATTCCCTGAAAATGGCTCAAGTTACCCCAGTTTACAAAAAAGAAGATCCATTTCAAAAGAAAAATTGTAGGCCTGTAAGTATTCTGCCCATTTTCTCGAAGATTTTTGAACAATCAATAAATAAACAACGTGTTTTATACTTTGACAACATTTTTCATAATTTTCTGGCAGCTTTTAGATCTAAATTTGGATGTCAAACTACCTTCTTACGGCTAATAAAAGACTGGAAAAATGCCTTGGATAGACATGAATATGTAGCAGCAATACTCATGGACCTGTCGAAGGCATTTGACTGTCTCCCCCATGACTTGATTGTTTTGAAACTTAAGGCATATGGCTTATCTGACACAGCTGCAGAACTTAAGCACAACTACCTGTCAAATAGAAAACAAAGGGTTAAAGTTGGTAAAGCATGCCGTGATTGGATGTCAATAAGTAAGGGAGTTCCCCAGGGATCCATTTGTGGGCCTTTTATTTTTAACATCTTTATTAACGTCATCTTTTACTCTATTAAAAAGCCACTGTCTACAATTGGTGTCGGCCTGCTGAATTTTTGTATTCTTTGTTCTATAGTAAATCAGTCACATTTGAGGCTTAATTATGGATTCCACTGTTCGTGATGAATTATCTACTGTCTTCAACTTTAAACATCAACACTATCTTAGTCAAATGAGGCCCAAAATATAATAGGTTAGCCATCTACTTTTTTGAGAAATCTTCATTCTGTTGTAACATAGTTTAAATTCACCACTTTAAAAACTCCTGACTGCTGGTGGGTGGTACATCTTTAATCCTTCCGCCAACAAATGAGTTCCTGGAGAATACACAAAAAACAACTTTTAAAGTCATCATATAACACACAAAAACTACACACATGCAATAAATACACTTTAATTATGACCAATCTAACTAGAGAAACTTCTTGGTGTTGAAATAGACTCTTTACTAAACTTACATGTATCTAACATTTGCAAAAAAGACTGCAAAACAAATCAACATTCTTGCTAGACTGAGTAAATTCTTAAATCAAAATACTAGATTGTTAATTAACAAATCCTTTGTTCGTTCAAATTTTAACTATTGTCCTTTAGTTTGGCATTTTTGTAGTAAACAAAATACTGAAAAAAAACTTGAAAAATTGCAACATAGATCATTGAAGATAGTATTTGAGGATTACAGCTCATCATATGAATTTCTTTTAAGTGAAGCTAATATGCCAACATTACATGTCAGTAGATTAAGACAATTAGCTATTGAAGTTTTTAAATGTTTACAAAATATATCACCAAAATATGTTCAGGAACTTATTAACCCATTACTTCATATACACGCCTTTTAACGCCTTTTTCACCCCCCCCCCCCCTTTTTGTTGTCTCAAATGATGAAAAAATGCCTTATTTAGGCCCTAAACACTTGTTTTTGTTTAAGAAATGTTGTTAAAAAAAATGACCTCTTTTTCGGCGCGGCCCCCCAACCAAAAGATACATCAGGGGGTTGCCAGAAGGGGGATGTGCCCCCTTCTGTTTTGGGGGGTTTGAAGGGGGGCGGAGTCCCCCTCATCGCCAAGAAAATTTTGGACTTGTGAGAGGCTGTAAATGACCCCAGATTGATCATAAGGTAACGTGTAACCAACGCTAAAAAAGCATTTGACTCTATCTCAATCCATTGATAAGTTGCAGCACTTTGAAATCAATTTTGATGGAAAAAATCAACGCAAAATAGTGATTTTTGGCAATTTTGAGATGTCCCCTCGTTGCCATGGTAACAGAAAATTTAAGTCTGAGCATGTTGTTGCAAGGACAATGGTCCAGTCAACATTTGTGCCAAGTTTGATTAGTGTTGAAGCAGTTTTTTATAGTATTATAGCAATTTGAACTTGTAACGGGAGACTTTTCAATGAAAACAGCCATTTTTTCACAAAATGCTCATGAAGCAATGGGTTAATGAAAAAAATAAAAAAATCTACAAAACAACAATTTTTCTTCAAATTTATATGACAGGCCATGTTTAAACATGAAAAAACGCGATTTAGGGTAATTTCAAGTATTTTCATCATTTTCAGTTAACCCATTACTTCATATACACGCCTTTTTAACGCCTTTTTCACCCCCCCCCCTTTTTTGTTGTCTCAAATGATGAAAAAATGCCTTATTTAGGCCCTAAACACTTGTTTTTGTTTAAGAAATGTTGTTAAAAAAAATGACCTCTTTTTCGGCGCGGCCCCCCAACCAAAAGATACATCAGGGGGTTGTCCAGAAGGGGGATGTGCCCCCTTCTGTTTTGGGGGGTTTGAAGGGGGGCGGAGTCCCCCTCATCGCCAAGAAAATTTTGGACTTGTGAGAGGCTGTAAATGACCCCAGATTGATCATAAGGTAACGTGTAACCAACGCTGAAAAGCATTTGACTCTATCTCAATCCATTGAATAAGTTGCAGCACTTTGAAATCAATTTTGATGGAAAAAATCAACGCAAAATAGTGATTTTTGGCAATTTTGAGATGTCCCCTCGTTGCCATGGTAACAGAAAATTTAAGTCTGAGCATGTTGTTGCAAGGACAATGGTCCAGTCAACATTTGTGCCAAGTTTGATTAGTGTTGAAGCAGTTTTTATAGTATTATAGCAATTTGAACTTGTAACGGGAGACTTTTCAATGAAAACAGCCATTTTTCACAAAATGCTCATGAAGCAATGGGTTAAAGTAAATTCATCTTATTACTCTTTTAGAAATACCAACACACTAGAAGTTCCTAGAGTAAACACAGAGACTTATGGTAAGAAAAGTTTCGTTACGAGGCCACCCAGGTCTGGAATAGCCTCCCGAATGAACTAAGAACAGAAACACATTCCGGTGAATTTCGGAGGCTTATCCAGACCTGGAGTTGCTTCAAATGCAAATGTTCTATGTGTGCCTAAATGTTTTTTTTATTGTTCTCTATGCCTTCTCTTTATTACTGCCTTCATGTATGTAAAAAGTTCATGCTTAATGTAGGTGCATGCTTCTTTTGTTTTTTCTGTATTTTGTCTGCCATAAAAATGCTGTATAAGGCCTGTATTTTTGTTTATATTATCCTTTATGTGATTTTCACGAGCTTCTTGTGTACTCCATATGTGCTTATTACTGTTTGTATATTTGTAGAGTCATTTATCAGTGTGTTAGTTGTTGAGTGTGAGTGGCAGCTGCTGATCAGCTTTTCACATATCCCATTATGGGGACAATAGTTTTTTTTTACAGTTTTTTTACCTTTTTATTTGTATTTTTAATTCAATTCGGTATTTATATATATATATATATATATATATATATATATATATATATATATATATATATATATATATATATATATATATATATATAAATTTGGAGAAAATATACGTTCATACAGTGCTAAAGTATAAATACCCAAGTACTTTCGGCGTATTATGCCTTCATCAGGGGTGTATTACATGTATAATGTGCACACAATCGAGCACAAAATCTCAATACGTGTGTACTGTATAGTATCAAAAATTGAACTGAAACACAGTCGCTAGAAAGGTGATAAAATTACATCGATTATGAATAGACCGTTATTGAATGGTCATTGTGTAGTACTTTACAAAAGAGAATATAGCCTGCGGTCAATATGGCATAAACTCGGTTAAATATATCTATAAAACTGTGTTTAAAAGAAAAAATATATATAAACTAAAAAAAATAAAACTTCACATATAAGGGCGTTTTGTGTTTTTATTACTATAAGTATGATGTAAGAAAATGCAAGTTACAAACAGTATGATGTTATATGAAGTGGAAATTTACGATAAGGTGAAAGTAAAAACGAAGCTCTCAGGCAAGGGAAAAATAGCCCCCCCCCGACACCGCCTGATGACTAAAGTTAGGTTTTAAAGTTTGTCAAGAATGGGCGAGAATAAGTGTGTAAATTAGTCTCCTTTATTGATTCCTGATGGCTCTAGCGTATTCAGTCGGCGAATCCAGTATGTCTCGCGTGATTTCCGTGTTATATCTGACCACTTTGTGTTATGTTCAATACAGCAGAGGGACACGTCTTTAAAACTGTGTCCCTCAAGGTGAAAATGTTCAGCAACTGGGGATCTGTTAAATTTTCGCGTTTTCCAGTCAGAGCGGTGTAAGTTCATTCGTTTATTTAATGGAAGTTTGGTTTCACCGACATATTGTTTGTTACACACTTTGCAAGAAATAAGATAAATAACGTTAGCCGTTTTACAATTCATTATGTCTTTGAGAGATGTTTTGGCCCCTATTTTTGAAGAGAATGTTTTTGTAAGGAGCATGACAGCACAGGTTTGGCATCTTGGTGTGCCACATGGTCCGGACTGACGTTCTTTATCTGTCATTATTGGTCTCAGTTGGGCTCAGTTGGGCTATAGGGACTAAAATGGCGCCTTCTTACGCCAACGTGTTTATGGGCAAATTAGAAGGACAACTGCTAGCTGCAGTACCTCTTAAACCATTCAGTTGGTTACGCTATATAGATGACATTGACATGCAATGGTGTCACGGGGAAGAAGCTTTGCAAGATTTTCTTTACAAAGCTAATACTTTTCACAAATCTATAAAGTTCACCACTGAGGTATCAAACGAACAACATGTTTTTCTCGACACAGTATCTCATATTAAAGACAATCATATAATTACTGATTTGTATTCAAAACCCACCGATAAACATCAATACCTTCTTCCAAGAAGCTGCCACCCTCGACACTGTTGTAAGAACATACCATACAGTTTGGCTTTGAGAATCAAACGAATCTGTTCAAATCCCAGCACGTTCTATATCAGAGCAAAAGAACTGTCTGAACATCTTAGGAAGCGAGGATACAAGGAAGAAGACATTGCAAACGCGATCTTAAATGCAGACAGCAAGCACAGGAAGGACTTACTAGAGTACAAACATCAATCTAGTGGTTCTACACAAAAATAAATTCCATTTGTGCTCACATATCACCCAGACTTACCTAACACTAGAGCCATCATTGACAAACATTGGCCAATTATTGAGTCTTCACAGAAACTTAACAAGATGTTTCCCAACTAAACCAACCATTGCATATAGGAGACCTAAAAGCCTCAGGGACATACTTGTTTGAGCCCAACTGAGACCAATAATAACAGATAAAGAAGGTCAGTCCGGACCATGTGGCACACCAAGATGCCAAACCTGTGCTGTCATGCTCCTTACAAAAACATTCTCTTCAAAAATAGGGGCCAAAACATCTCTCAAAGACATAATGAATTGTTTAAAACGGCTAACGTTATTTATCTTATTTCTTGCAAAGTGTGTAACAAACAATATGTCGGTGAAACCAAACTTCCATTAAATAAACGAATGAACTTACACCGCTCTGACTGGAAAACGCGAAAATTTAACAGATCCCCAGTTGCTGAACATTTTCACCTTGAGGGACACAGTTTTAAAGACGTGTCCCTCTGTTGTATTGAACATAACACAAAGTGGTCAGATATAACACGGAAATCACGCGAGACATACTGGATTCGCCGACTGAATACGCTAGAGCCATCAGGAATCAATAAAGGAGACTAATTTACACACTTATTCTCGCCCATTCTTGACAAACTTTAAAACCTAACTTTAGTCATCAGGCGGTGTCGGGGAGGGCTATTTTTTCCCTTGCCTGAGAGCTTCGTTTTTACTTTCACCTTATCGTAAATTTCCACTTCATATAACATCATACTGTTTGTAACTTGCATTTTCTTACATCATACTTATAGTTAAAAAAACACAAAACGCCCTTATATGTGAAGTTTTATTTTTTTAGTTTATATATATTTTTTCTTTTAAACACAGTTTTATAGATATATTTAACCGAGTTTATGCGATATTGACCGCAGGCTATATTCTCTTTTGTAAAGTACTACACAATGACCATACAATAACGGTCTATTCATAATCGATGTAATTTTATCACCTTTCTAGCGACTGTGTTTCAGTTCAATTTTTGATACTATACAGTACACACGTATTGAGATTTGTGCTCGATTGTGTGCACATTATACATGTAATACACCCCTGATGAAGGCATAATACGCCGAAAGTACTTGGGTATTTATACTTTAGCACTGTATGAACGTTTATTTTCTCCAAATTTATTGTTTTTTTTCCACTTTCTTGTATATCCTTCTTTGGATCCAGTGTTTTGAAAGGTATTTTGTAGATGCAAATATTTTTCACAAACCTATGTATATATATATATATATATATATATATATATTATATATATATATATATATATATATATATATATATATATATATATATTCGTGCGATTTTTCTATGTATTATTTCTCGCTCATGTCTTTCTTTCTTTCATATATATTCATTCTTGGGCGGGAATGGTCTTTTAAAAAAAAACAATAAGTGTGTTTGCCATAAGAAAATTGATAATAGTGACTGAGTCAGATAAATGCGATAAAAGAAGCCGTTATGGTAATAAAAGTGATGACGTCACAATAAAGTTAAAAATAACTTAAATATATAAGGCCAATTAGCACGAAGAAAAAGCAACGGCCGCTGTGGTGTGGTGGTTAGCATACTGGACCGGCAATCCAGAGACCCGTGGTTCGAGTCCCGGCTGTGGCTTGCCGATTTTTCGTGCGATTTTTCTCTCTCTCTCTCTCTATATATATATATATATATGTGTGTGTGTGTGTGTTTTCTTTTCAAATAAGCTTTCCCCGCATGACTTTGTCTAGGCCAGCACAGATCAGCAAGTTGATTTATCGCCTGTGTTTAGTGTTTTGTGTAAGACTATAGGTGGAAATATATCGCAAACAAGTTTATTCAACGAACTGTATCGGTCAATAGACCTTTCTATCTTAAACGGATTTCGTAAACGGACTTCGTAATACGGAATAAATTTGGGGATTTTCTCAAAACATAAATAATAAAAATACCAATATGCTAAAACTGTAATACAGTTTTCTTACATGCATATGCTAGTTATAGTATTTCTATAAACCATCAACACATTAAAGATGGAGACAATACTTGTATAAAGATAATTTATATAAAGGCCAAATAAAAACAACAATACAAGTTTCTTCATTCATATACTCTATTGTAGTGTTAATTTTTCAACCAATGACAAAGAAGCTATTTTTTTCAAGATATACTAGTAAGTGTTGGTACATTGTGGGAAAGCAGGACATATCTACTGTCACTGTTGACGCCAAGTTCATTTGTAAAATATGTAGTAACGTTTCAGTGGGAATTGAGCGTTAGAATTATACAAACGTCGCCATCTGAATGTGTGTTGATAGCGTGGAAAGGACAATATCCAGAATAGAATTGTTCTTGTGGCTTACCCATTGGTCGCACTAATTTGTGTGATGTACCAACTGTAGGATACATTTTTTCCCAACCGCCACGTTTACTAAGCCACTGATCTATGGTTGGTCAAGTGATGTAGTTCGCAAATGTTGTGTAAAATGTATGTATAAATGTGCTAATTTCAATAATTATGTACATATGCGGTGCTCACATTGAATATGGTGTGAAGTGTTATAATTTAGGGATGGGTAACATCGTATCCACATCAGAAACATTAGAATCATATTTACTGACCACTGTAATTCTAAGTTTATGTAATGTTGATATTTATATTTCAGATGTTTTACCAGTTATTTTATAGAAATTGTACACATTTTCTGAGAAAATTTGGAAAAAAAGATTCTTTCGGAATATATATTCGAATCATTTGAAAATAGTCTAGAGGTGGCATCATTACGGCA